CAGTGTGTATCTTTTAATTTCGGATGATTTTTAATAAATAAATGATAAAATTATTTTAATATAATTAAGCGAAATTACTGTATGTAAAAAATAAAGAATTGAATTCAAATCACTAAATAGTATGAAAAGATATATATTTTGTTGGTGTCACCCTTTAGACGAAAAAGCTTTTAATATATCTTTATTTTTATTGTAAGAAAAATAAATGCTCCTGTAGGCAAAAATTAAATATATTGCTCCCTTCTAGCATTTTTTAACATTTCTATTTCTTTTCTTTTCTTAGATTTTTTCGGAAAAGACTGATTCAAATTTTTAAATTGACTCCAGAGAGGTACGGGTTTAGCCTTTACCTGTACTTACATAAATTTTCTTCTGGTGAAAATAAAAAAAATCCATAAAATTGGTGTACTATGAAACCCTTGAATATTATATATATGTCAATCTTAGTATTACAGAATTGATTTACGTAAAAAATAAGGTGTATAAATAGGTAAAATTTACTTATCCCTCGTAAAATATCAATAAAATATATTATAAATTGTTTTCATTCACAAATATTAATTTCTTAAAAATCTAACAGAGGCGCCACTTTCCAGACGAAAAATCTTGCAATGTAAGGGTTTCGTAGTACCCCACTTTTAAAGTTTATTTTTGACTAGTTTTAAAAGAAAAAAATATGTTCGTGTAGGTAAAGGTTAAATCTATGCTCCTTTGGTATCACTTTTTCAAAATTGAATTTAGTTTTTTTTTTTTAAAATTGAGAAAATGGGTAAAAAAAGTCGAGTTTTGTATTTTTTTTTTTTTTTTATAAAAAACTGAATCAAATTTTGAAAAAGTATCTCCAGAGGAGCACAGATTTAACCTTTTCGTATACGTACATATTTTTTCTTTTAGAAAAAGTCAAAAATAAACTTTAAAAGTGGGGTACTACGAAACCCTTACATGCTCCGCGCTACAGCCAAGTAAATACTCCTCTTAAAGTTTATAAATAGGAGTAAAACCTTAATATTATTATTTGGGGTAGCCTTAGTGATGGCTTTAGTCCAGAGTTGTCTTAAATATCCATTTAAGTGTATTTTTAAAATTTTTAAAAATTAAAAAGTTTCATGCCGCATGTGATGCGCACCTCTATCAGCTTGGAAGACGACCTTTGTTGTATTGTATCGATGGAAGACTATTATTTTTAGCTTTATTATTACAAAAATAAGCATCACATTAATGTCAGCTTTGCGAATATAATTTTTTTTTGCTTATTTAGGTGGGAGGAAGACGTAGGTATTTTGTCATGAAATTCAAGTGGAAGACGATATTTTCTAAACTTTATTTGTTTAAATTAGCTTGTATAACAAGTTTCATGCATGCGAAAATGATTTTTTTTATATTTTTTTTTTACTGTAATTGTAACCCTCCTGCCACCCCCTGTCGTAAGGGTGCGTCGGAAGACGTTCATATTAGAGTTACAGATTACTTGCATAACTCATATAAAAAAAATAAACTTGCGAAAATGACCAGGAAATGTATGTCGTTACCTCCCGGTCTAAACGGGGCCAGGCCGTATAAACTGGCAACATTAAGATTATTCATTTCCTGATCGTTCTTGCTCACAGTGGCCGACACTGTATATTTATTGTATTTCAAATTTATTTATTAGTGAAAAGGTTAACTTTTAATATTTATATTTATTTATACTCACCAAATGGCAGTGATGTCCCATAGTACCGGTGTTCAACGAAAATTAACAAAGCTTTAAAAGTGGGTGCAATTTCGAACAAGAAACCCGTATTTTGAGCGGCAATGGTGATTTCCCGTTCACCTCCCGTATAAATGAATACTGGTCCTTCTTTAACATAGTTCCTTGAGTTAATCAAATATCTCAAGTTAAATGTTTTATTTGTTGGCGTTGCCGAGAAGTGATCAATTGGTACTTCGATGTATTTAGTTTCAAAAGAATATAAATTTACGCTTTCCGACCATTTCACAAAACCCATTAACACAAAAATTACTGAAAACATTTTTATAATTATCGATGCCATTATAAACTTGTCTTGAGACGTTTAAATCTAAACTGAGGAGATCAATCTAGTTCATAGTTTGATCCAGTCATTGAACGAAATTTCGTGAATGTAGAATGCAGATGATTCACATTTTTTTCAATTTTGATTTGTAACACAGCTTAAAATTTAATCAACGACAAATCATACATTCATTAAATACCTGCTTTTTTGATGTTTTTCATGTTTATGAATCACCGTTAATATTCTAGTAAAGGAATATCTGAAAAACTCCAACACATATTCTAATCTATCTACAAAAATAATAAAAACTATTTATGTATTTTTCTGTCAGCCTCTCTCTCTCACAACAAATATTTTCTGATCTCAAAATTCGTTTTTTAAAAAAAATATTTTAAAATGTTTTAAAAAGTTTTATTTCATCTAACAATACATTTAACTACCAAGAGATCTAATTAACAAGTAGTTAATTCACATAAAAATGTTGTAAGCCAGAATAATGAAATAAGATACGCGATAACAGTTTCTAAGAAAAATAGAAGTTGATTCTTCAATTCGCATAAGGAACGTTGACGTAATTCCTCCCTTCGGAAATTCAACTTCGAGGATTAACGAGGAAGTTGAACATTGGCCAGGTCTATTGGTTGTTCTTGCTTTTTGGTTTCTGGAATACTTAGGGTGTCGAATTGCAGTTCAGGAAAGAAGATAGGTTGACCAATAATTTCGCTATTATTCCTGTTGACCATTTTCTTTTGTTGCATATTTATTGAACAATCGATTGGAATATTGATAAGGTAGGTGCCAATAACTTCTACAACTTCTTATTAGTTCTCACAGAGAAATTGTTCTTTAAAAGGAAGGATGCCAATCTATTGATTCGTATCTTCTAATTGTTTGAAGTATGGTTCCGTAATTTCGATTCGTGTTGGGTGGCAAGCGGAAGTGTTTTTGATATTTATGACTTCACAAGGATTTTCTTTCTTGATGAATTGCGGTTCAACATTCTCGCAAAAGTACTGTTTTGGTCGGTACAGTTTAGGACAGGGCATGCTCATAAATACGTATTGCTTATCGTTTTTTAGTAAGAATTAATTTTTTGGAATTATTGCTTTTAATTGACCTTGCGCTCAAATTGGTATGATATATTAAATATAAATGATAGTAATCTAAAATGCTATTATGGTATTTGTAGTACTTATACAAGTAATTATATTTTTAAAAATTAGGCTGTAAATTTTAATTAATTTTTCAAAAATTAGAATATTGTGTCGATTTACTTCTGTATTTAAATTTACCTATCTCTAATTTTGTAGTTCTTCTAACTCGTTGTAAATATCTTCAGTTCTTATTATACTAGGATGCATAACTTTTAACTTTGAAAGCGATATAGCTGTTTAAGTTAGGGAAGTCGTAAGTTTTTTGTAAAGGTCGTTTGAGATTATCCATATGAATGTTGTTTTTTGAATCTGTAGAAACAGTTTTATTTTCGATATTAACCTTTTTTTAGTAGATTTATTGAATTTGTTGGCTAGTTTCTGCCTTATATGCTTTTTAACATAGGTTTTTTAGTTTTGCTGAAACATTTTAGGGTCATCACGGGTTTTATTAATTTTTTCGATACGGTTTTGTTTTTTCTTTTAACAAATCTTCATTAATTTTTGAATAAAGCAGTTTTGTTCTTTCTTTGTGCCCCCTGTGCAGGACTGAATTAGGTCGAACGTAGGCTGAAACTATTCTTAGAACTCCGTGCAATGTTCTAACTTTAATAGTTGTAGCTTCCATCGTTTGTAATGCAGCAGGGGTTGGAATAGAGTGATGCTCTATTTCCTGTTTAATTAGTATCGAAGTGCCATCAGACATTGCTTGATGGTCGTTCCTATATACACTATAGCCTGGCCATCGCAGGTTATATGTATCCGTAATTTTTGTTTCTTGTATTGCAACTATGTCCAGGTTTTCCCTTTCCATTAGTTCACCTAGGAAAATTATATTAGGCCCTGGATTCCAGGACCCAATCGTCAAACTAGCAGGTTGTATAGGTGTATTATACATTTAGAATTGAATGTACGTGGCTGCACGGTCTTGGGGGGCCTACTAATACCCATTTTCGGGGCTTTCGGGCATCCTCGATAACTCGCAGGATGGTCCCCCTTGCAATTTTCGCAAGTGTCGCGCCATTTGGGGCCCTTTGGGCCTCAACTTTTACTGCCAGTCCAACACACCGGTTGACTGATAGCATATCATCTTTTTCCGCCTTTGGCACGTCGATCAAGAATAATGGTAGTGCCCTTTTATCTACTCTCGACATCATCTGTTGTATCTTGATTGAAAGCAGTCCCTGTTCAGTCAGGTCGCTCAGCGCATCCTGGGTTGACATATTTGTCGGTATCCCTCTCAAAACTGCTTTGAAGGATTTGTCTTCGGCCAGCTGATGACAGAAGAACTTAACCCCTGATTTCTCAAGGTACAACGTCATCATTCGGTAGTCGTCTATGGTTTTGGGGTATACACGAGTTCCGTTCCCTTTAACGATCGCAGTTTCATATTTAATATTGTTAATTGCAAATTCTCGCGTTATTTTTATTCAATTTGTTGATGGGTCTAACAGAATAGACGCCACCTTTGGGTTTTTAGTTTCATCATTATTTTTCGGGGTTAACATTATTTTTAGGTTTTTGTGTATTTTTAACTGAGTTTACCTCGATGGGGGTATCGTTTTCTTTGCGGGGCTTTGTCGCTTTGCGCCTTTGTCCGCGTGATTTTACATTTTTAAAGCCTTCGTCGTCTGTGTCGCTAGAAGAGCTTATGTCTATAACCATGTTGTTTGTGTTTTCGCCTGAGGGGCCTGTTGGGGGGTTTATGTCTGAGGGACCTGTTGGAGGTTTGATACCTGAGGGGCCTGATGTGTCGTTGATTTTTGTTGGGTTTTCGTTAGTGTTTTTGTTTGTGTTTTTGTCTTAGTTTGTTTGTTTTTGTAAATAGGTATACCACTATTGACTCTGGGTCTTTGTTTTGTTTGTCAGTGTCGTTTGATTTATTATTATTTATTTGTTTATGAGTGTCATTAATTAGTTTTTTATTATTGTCGTTGATTTGTTGATTATTATCGTTTATAAGTTGTTTTATTAAAGCGTCGTGCTTTAATTCTTGTCTTTCGGACTGTTCGTTCATTTTTTTGAGCATGTGATTCATTTGCTCGATGGTGTGTTTCAACCGGTTGATTTCCGCTCTTAGTTTTTCGGCCTTCGCCCTGGCCCTTCCTTCTTCGGTAGCTTTTAACAGCTCTATCGCGTCTTTTATTTTCTTTTCCGATTTGTCCTTATCGACTTTCATCATTTGCACGATCCCTCGGTCGGCTCTGAATGTCGCCGATGATGATGGTTTATTCGCCGTGCCGTAGGACGGCATTGTCGTTGGTTCATTTTAATAATTACTCTTCGTTTAATTGTCGTTGGATATGTGAAATATTTAGAGTAAATGTTGTCGGTTATAAAATAAAATGTAAAATAAAAATGTGGTCATTCGGCAGAAAATAAAAAATCGTAGTCAGTAATTTAAAAATCACTTACCCAACCTTGACGTGTCGTTCTCCATCAACTGGCACGATTTAATATCACTTTCACTTGTATTTTAACTAGATGCACATAGTGTATATCTCTAATGGTTTTATTATTAACTCACTACTTATTCCTCACTCGAGATATAATTCGCGTCACTCTATTTTAAAATAAAAACATCCGGCACTTTCAATTTATATCACTCGCTTTCCGGTTTGAAAAACACGATCGCGAAACTACAATGTAGTTAGGCAGTTCCGGTATAAAATACCATCACCGACACTAAAAACAATTGTCTTAAGCGGTTGGTTTACGGATCTCAATCTGCCTACTTCCGTTTCCAACTGCCAGTTAGCGTGGTCACTCTCAGAATGAACAACACACACAGTAATTGAGCCCAAGTCGAGAAGGTTCCCATCCTGTTAAACTGGATCGGAACCCTCCTGACAACCACCTCCCCCCCTGATATCTTCGCTACAGGGGGCCTCAATTTTCCATCATATGATTGGTATGCCATTCCTTCTTAAAGGGCTGTGAGGGATGACATATTATCAGCATTTAGACAGGGTTTGCTGAGGGCATTTCCCTGTTTCGTTGTCCGTTTGTTTGTCTTGTGTGTGCACTTTCTGTGAAAATCGCCACCTGTGAAAGATCCCCCATTCTCCTACTAGGCGACGGAGGGACCTTCTCCCCCAGGTGGTTAGTCGTTAGTTGCTCATTCCTTGTCTGATTCGCGTGTAGCGCTCTGTCGGGTATTCTGAAAGAGAATGCTGAAAGAGAACGCTGAAAGAAAATCTATACGACTCTTGAATTTTACACCCAAGGGTCGGTCACTCGCCGCCATAATCCAGCACCTTGCGTGGTCTGGCGTGTCTTCTATAGTCCGCTCTTTCGTACTCTGTGAGTTCTCTGATCTCTATATTCGGGTGAGTTCTTAGTTTTTCGAAGGTGTGCGTGGCCTTCTTGTGTATGAGGTCTAGGACCCTTTTGGATTCTAGATCCCTCCTGATTACGTCGTTTCTAGTGAATCTATAGGCATTTGAGGCCCATCTACAGGTGTATCCCCATGCCGTCGAAGCGTACATGAGGATAGGTATAATGACTGCCTGTATAAGCCTCATTTTTGTCTGCAGTAATAGTTTGCGCTTGCGTCCTATTAGGCAGTTTAGTCTTAATGTTGCTTGTTTCGTTTTCTTAACTACCATGTCCACGTGTTTGGTGAAGGTGAGCCGTTTGTCCATTATTACTCCTAGGTACCTGGCTGAATCGGTCCATGGGATGTCCTGTCCATTCATCGTAACTTCTTCTCCTGGGGGGTGATGCATCTTCTTGAACACAGCCTGTGTCTTCTCTGCGTAAACAACACACAAATCTGTATTGGTATTATATACCGACCACCTGACACTAATTATAGATGGTCCTCGTAGTCGGAGTCGGTGTTAGTCAACGCCTGGAATTTGTTTTGTATCTGAATTGACACGCTTTGTCCTTTAGGGTGGTGACAAAGTTTGTGGAAAATTTTTTGGGTTTTATAAATTCTCCCCCCTCTGTATTAGTGTCCATGTACTCTGTGTTTGTGTTTTCCTGTGTCTCAATTGGAATATCTTGGATTCTTTTTCTCTTGAGTTTAGGTTCAGGGATAGTTTTGGAAATTTTCGGCACCGCTCCAGTAGATACGGTCGGTTTGATACCGGTAAATAGTCGCACATCATTAGAATTAATGTTATCGCGCTTTGGCCTTTCGTCTTCCCTCGACGTGGCTGTTTGTCTGTCTGTACCGAAATTTAAAACTCGCGTGGTTACTAACTGCGGAAGCGGTAGAGTTTTGTACGCAAATTCGAACGTAGGTTGGCCGATGCCCCGAGCGTGATCCGTCTGTAGGTTATTTTCATCGTTCCCCGAACTTTTATCGAAATTCTCCAAACTTTTTTCATTTTTCCCCATACTTTTTTGAATCATTTCGTGTATTGTTTTCTCCGCGTTTTCGGCACTTTCTAGTATAAGTCTATCGAATGATTTATTCGCGCTACCGAGGTTATTTGAAGCGTCTTTGTTTTCGTTAAATTTCGCAAAATTGACAATGGTGTCATTTAAAGGCGAATTCTCCGCACTTTCAAAGTTCCCGTTATTATCCGGAGAATCGTCAAAGCTCGTACGTGGTTTCGCGTCCGATTCCGGAATAAAAAGTTTGTTAAACACTGCATTGGACTTGAGACCATCACTATTCTCCATACTTTCTTGTGCTAAAATTTTCTCCATACTTTCGGCCTGTGAAATTTTCTCCATACTTTCGAAATGTGAATTTTTGGAGGCTTGCAGCGCACTTTGTGTATGTCCAGCGGGTAGGGATAGTGTTACCTCTGATGCTTTTTCTGGGTCCGACGTATTGTCAAGGTTTATAGGGATCTGGATTTTCTCCATACTTTTGTTCCTTGAAATTTTTGTTGAGTTCTTTCTGGAGCTGGATCTCGATTTATATGACTCATTCTTGATATTAGGGGTACTTACATGTCTGTAAGGGTGGTTTCTACTATGACTACGGCTCCTAGGGCTGTGGGGAGACTTATTTTGTGGAACTAGTGGTGTTGTAGAGTATGTAAGTTTGTCAATTTTGTCCAGGCCGCCGAGAGCCAGGTCGGGCCCCGGGACAATTCTCTACATCGGGCCCTGTCACAAAAACTTTTAGTTTTCTAAAAAAAAAAGGTCCTCTCCTCGAAAAAAATTAATTTTCTCCCTACCTCAGTTACTTCTTCTAACTTCACTTATTCTTCTTCTAAAAAAAACAAAAAGTTCCTCACCTCTAAAGAAATATTTTATCTTATCCCTACTTCAATTATTCTTCTTCTTCTTCAAAAAAAGGACCTCTGCTACTTTTCCTCCAACTTTCAATCACATCACCATGCGGGAACAGAAAACCCTATTGTCGGGCCCCTCTTATAGCGCTGCCGGGCCCCCATTACAGCCCGGGTCCCGGGAATTAGTCCCGGCTACCCCCCCCCCCTCTAGTCGGGCCTGATTTTGTCCTTATTACGCCTGGAATATAGTGAGTCTATGCAATTCTTGACTTGGGGGGAGTCTGTGGCTACCCTTTCGGGTCCCGCCGTAGGCGGTTTGTGGTCACTACCGAACCGATTTGTTTATACTTAAACCTGGCTCAACAGTGTTTGGTTTCATAAGATACACCTTAGTCACTTTCAGACTAAAGACAAAAGTGACAGGTGATATATGCGAAACTCACAATTTCGCGACTGTTACGCGGTTGGAAGGCACATCAATCAATCGGCCTGTGAAATGTACATACAAACCAAAGACTATACCAACACACACACAAGGACAACCCTGTTTTTTCTAGCTTTTTCAGGGGACAAAAAGACATAACTAAAACACGACATATCCTATCACCATTTCCCATTACCGATTTCCAAATAAAACCACAATCCCTTAATAATACCGAACAGGTAAGGAGTGAGGGCTGATATATTTCTCAAACATTTAGTCGAGCGAATTATTGTGGGCGGATTTATCCACCCTGGTTTTTGACCTGCACGAAAAGTCTATGGACTCGGTAGTGTGAATATAATAATTTTGACTTGACATGCAGATACTATTATTAAATTGTAAATAAAGATTTCTAAAGTAAAGTAAGTAAAGGTTATTCTGTGGTACCGTGGTTGATAAAATTGAAAATTGTAATAATTGTTAAAAACAAATGTTAAAAAAATCACATTATTTTGTTTATCTCTATTGTGTATTTTTTTGTGTGTCATCGGCTTCAACTGCTAAGGTTATTTCGCCTCGTGTTCTTTGTAGGCTTTGTTACTGTTTCCCAGCGCCACTTTAGGAACAGCACTGTTAATTAGAACCCAACAATGAATGGTCGAGTGGGTATTGGGTATTATTTTTAATAAAATATATTTTTAATATGAACCCGTACAATTAATATCAAAAATTGTTTCTCTATATGTGTTATTTATTAAAGAGAAAAAATTACAATTGTATATTTTTATCTATAACAATTCAATATTTTTATTTCGTGCAAATTTCTAATATAATTTTTTTTGTAATCGGCATTAAAATGATTTGTTTAAAATAAATTATTGATTAAGCCACTTTTTTAGAGTTGATATATAAAATTCTCTTGCTTCTACAATATAATTATTATCAGCACGATCAGAAGCTCTAAAGTCCATGAGATGTGGAGCTTCAGCAATTCGATAAGTTATCCACGTTTCTGTTGATTTGTTTGATTTATTCAGATGAACACCACTATATGAAGCCGGGTCTAACATGCTACTACTGAAGACTACATTCGAATAATAATTCAAATTTCTGCCTCCATATGTTGAAAGGGCCCAATTGAGTCTTGGTTTAATTTTATATTTTCTATAACAATCAAGTGATGTCTGTTCATAATTCCAGTTCTTGTGGAGAAACATATCATAATCCGTTGAGCATTTTGGCATTATAAGCTCTGTACAAGTTTGATATTGCCAGGCAAGTTCATTTACATTATGTTCTTTGTAATAAATATCATTACAAGCTACTTTGCCAGTATAATTGGTATAAATTTCTAAAGCGGCTGTAAATATTTGAATAAATACCTTTGTATCAGTGAAATTAGCAGTATTGAGTTTGTTGCAAAATAACAAGACTGGATTTGCTGGAACTGGATTATAGTATTCAGAAGAATATGGATAATTTACCATAGATAATTTGCTATATACATCAGCTAACCATTCTAACAATACATATACATCTTCCATTGTTTCAAGGCGTTTACAAAGCTTCAATGATGACGAGATGAAATTCCTACCTGAAACAAATTTGTGTCTAAATCCTAAATTGAGAAGTCAGTGTTGTATCAGAGATGTGAATCTTTAATCACGTGATTCAAGATACGTAAATGTAGTTGGGGCAGATGCATCAGAAATAAACGCTCTAAAGGTAAAACATGCATCGAATGTGGATATTCAAACATAACGATCATTTTAGTTCGAAAAATATACCGCAGGGTCAGCTTGCTCGTCTGCGTTAATTCTCGAGATGTATAGAATCAGATAAAAAAAACTTAAAGTTTGGCAACTACAGGGTAATATACAAGATTATTCATTGGGAAATACTTAAACAGCGTATGGATGCTTCGAGACGATTCTAAATAAGTAATATTTAAAGGATATTTTGTCACTTATAAGAAAGTTTTAAAATCAATGCGATTTTCATATAAAACTGGTTATACCGTATGAAATATCCTGTATAATCCCAAACAATTTGGTACTGTTATAACGGAAAAGCTAGGGCAATTCAAATATTAACAGCCGGTTGCAAGAACGATTGTTAAAATCTTTCGTTAGTTAATGAACTCATAACTTTATTCACTCCCTAAATTATCTTCTAAATGGTAAATTTGGCAATGGCGCTTTTCCAAGTGACAGTATGAAGTAAAGTATGCCGATATTCGAGATACGTCCTTATCAAGAGTTTTCTCTGTCTTTGTCGTCCCATTTAAGAGAACGCTCGACAGGTGAACGCGAAAAATATGTTTTTGTGTGAGCTCAAAATTTGTCATAAGGAATGTCGCTTCGCATTACAATGGCTGCATGCAAAGAAAGTCAAACGGCAAGAGTCGAAAACGTCGAGACTAGACGAACTTTTAACATGAGAATTTTTTACAAAATATATTTATTTGAAAGTACGTAAAGAAAACGAATTTTAAGATTTAACAATGTTAATGTGGATTTTATGATGGAAAACAAAGGGTTATTTACATATAGTAAGTACTTTAATTATAAGAAATAATATTTCTTTATTTACAAATAATATTTTCTTGTAGCCAAAAGCCAAACCTAATATGCAGTGATAGGAATTTATTAATAATGCAAATGAAAATAACAAATTTTAAGAAACAAAAAGAAACAACATGACAGAATATAAAATAAAATTAATTAGGTATCCTGTTCTAAAATCTAAATTAATAACAAAAACGTACATTAAAATTCAAATAAAAATTAAAAAGTAGATGGTGTTCTACTTTTTTTATTAATAAAAACTAAAATTCCTATAAGCAACATTTATTTTCATGAACTATTTAGATATTAAATTATAAGGGTTTAAATGTGGTCAATTTCATGAAGAAAAATAAAAAATCTAGGTAAGTACTAAAAGTCAATACAACAAAATGTTGAGAAGATGGCTGTTTGTAGACACCCTTTAGCGTCAACCAGCAGGTTTTTGACGGGTTGATAACCTGCAGGGCTTTACTGAGCTATGAAGATACAGCTGTCTCTAGACATCTCTCAGAGGCAGGTTTTATATACCCCTGGAGGATGCACAATGGGCCTAAGTTCTGTGGAAATATCCACCTTTGCCACCTTACAGATACAGAGAGTTTATATTGTTAATTAAAACTAATGTAGGATGTTGCTATGAAATTAGATTGTCCAATTTTGACAAAAAAGATGGCAGCAATTTATAAAATTAATTTTGCTTAGTAATCAGAAAAACTTTATTCTTTATAATTGATAATAAATTTTTATTATATTAATCAGTGTTTTTTATGTTTTATGGCTCAGATATTCACAATAGGTCTCAGTTTATGATTTTATGGGTTTTGTGTAGGCTTTGTTAATGTTTCCCTGTTATAAAATCGTTTAAACCTCTTAATATTATTTGACGATGTGGATACTCAACATTACATGCAACATTACAACACGAAAAAATTTGTGTTTAAACACACCTTACATAATATCGTGTCTTGAAGTAAAATAGGTCATTCTTTTATTTGTTTCTAAATATACAAATGCTGAAATTTTATTTTAAAACACGTTTGGGGTAGAACGATTTTATTTAGTGAACACTTGTAAAGGCGCTTTTCGTAGTCCTATTTAAATATGGGTAAGCAATCTGTATAACAATATACAGGGTGATTCATAACTATTGGGACATAGGTTAAGGGCAGGTTATTTGGACCAAAATATGGTGATTGGACCAAATATACCTTTACAAAATATGGCTGTGGAATAAGATACAGGGCGTTAAAGTTGAATTTTTTTTTTCGTTTTTTTCTGATAATGTCACTGTTTATTTATAAATTGTTATCAAAATCGGCGCAAAGGCATATCTTTGAACACGGAATATTATTTTATGTAATATTTCACATTTTGTTACAGGGGACGCCACGTGAATGATTCCTGATGATGAAATTAGGTGGTAACTTTTTTTGGCGAACATTTTTAGTGCTTTTGATTAGAAAATATTACCTAAAAATTATTTCTACGTAATATTGGTACTCTTGTTTAAACACGATAATGTCACCTATTTTCGAGAAAAACGTAATTGAACAGTTCAGTGTCTCAGAAGGGGATTCCATATAACACAATAAGAAAACTTGTAACGTAAGGCTTCTATTTCAACGGTAAAGCAAAATTAAAAACAATTTAACATAAAAAAAGCAAACTTAAATGTTGTCTGACTTCTATGCATTTTCTAATTCTTTTAATAAAGGACTTTCGGATGGCAAAGAAAATATTATTCTGTCCCCTTATAAAATTACCCGCATTTTGTATGTTCCTCCAGAGTTCGTCTCAAGAATTAATTTCCTGGGTATAAACTAAGGACTTCATATTATTATTATTATTATTATTACAAACTAATTAGGGCTGAGGAATGAATCCTATTAAGCCCAAAATTACAAGTTCAATAACAAAGACAATTATTAAATAAGTAATTAGCAAATAACATAATGCAAACAAAGCATAAAAATCAAGAGGGTTATAGTCAGGACTTCTTGGTGGCCATTCAAAATTACTTCCTCTGCCAATCCAACGTTGAGGAAATATGTCACTTATATAATTTCTAACAACTAATGGGAAATGAGGTGGAGCTCCATCCTGCATAAACCACATTTTCCTTCTTACATCTAGTGGCATATCATCCAAAATATCTCTAAAAGTATTTTGCAAAAAAAATAAATAGGAATCTTCATTTAAAATTGGAGGAAGACGATATGGCCCTAGTAGTTGATGACTGTTTCGATAATTAAAAACACCTCGTCTAGTAAAAGTCGCTTCATCGGTGAACATAATATTTTTAATAAAATTTCGGTCATCATTATTTTTGTTGGGAATACGTTGGCAGAACTGTAACCGTCTTGGGAGATCTCTTGGAAGCAAATTTTGAACAGGAGTGAAGTGATAAGGATGAAACTTTTTTTTTAAACTCTAATAATAGACGACTGACTTACTCCTGTTGTTATTGTGAGTTGACGTGAACTTACTTCAGGATTTTCATCTACTCGAACCAAAATTTCATCTTCTTCATTAGGTGTGATTTGTTTCGAACGACCACCCAGATTTTTACTATGAAATGACCCGGTTTCACCCAAACGATAAAATATATTTGCAAAAGTTTTGTGATTTTGTTGCCTTTTGTCTGGATATAACAATTCATACCTTCTGGCTGCCATGCGACCGCAAAAATTTTCTTGTGCATATACACAAACCATATCCCGCATTTCTTCATTCGTAAAATGATTGTGACGAGGCATTTCAGTCGAAAAAGCTTTAAAAAATGCAACAATAGACTATAATGTCACAGCAAAAATAATTCATTGGCAAGAACTGACATTTACCAGACACAATTATCTGACAGTCCAAAGCACACTTTTCATAAATAAAATATTTTTTGAAATATCCTTCTGAGACTCTGAACTGTTCAATTGCGTTTTTCTCGAAAACAGGTGAAATTATCGTGTTTAAACAGGAGTACCAATATTACGTAGAAATGATGTTTACGTAATATTTTCTAATAAAAAGCACTAAAAAGTTTCGGCAAAAAACTTACCACTTAATTTCATCATCAGGAATCATTCTCGTGGCGCCCCCTGTAAAAAAATAAAATGTGAAATAATAAATAAAATAATATCCCTTGTCTAAAGATATGCCTTTGAGCCGATTTTGATAACAATTCATAAATATACAGTGAGATTATAAAAAAAAAACGAAAAAAAAAATCAACTTTAACGCCCTGTATCTTATTCCACAGCCATATTTTATTAAGGTATATTTGGTCTTATCGTCATATTTTGATCTAAATAACCTGCCCTTAATCTATGTCCCAATAGTTATGAATCACCCTGTATATCATTGGTCATATCGCGAAAAATGCATCGGATTGCACCGCGTTGCCAGATTTAGGACGTTCAATAGCTATCGAGGATTGGAATGCATTTTTAGTAGATCATTAGTGCTAATGAGTTTATAAATATTTAACGATCGTTCTTGCAACCGGCTGTAAATATAATATAGTATGTCATATTTAAAAAACATAAGTTTGATATGTATAACTTTCCTGGAGAATCATGTATAATTGAAATTATTTATAAATTGTTACCTTTTCTGTTGTATATCTCGCTTTGAAAAGAGATTTAAAAAAAAATCAAATAGTTTTGTCTCCATCGACCAAGGCGTTACCAGTAGCACACTCTTTATATACAAAGTGTCCCATTAATGCGTATTTGTTCAATATTTCAATTTGTGTTATAAACACGCAAACAAGTTTCAAATAAAATATGGATTTAAAAAATACCCGTCTTAAAATTATTTTTAGATATACAGGGTGTTGCGTTATTGCCTAGCAAATAGAAATATATATTTTTTTAAATGGAACATCTTGTATTTTATTTTATTTTATTTTAAGAATGGTTTTGTAATACTGTATTCAACCATAGAATAAGGATTTTCAACCATTTATTTTTTTTTTAAATTGGCGAATAATGCAGACCTCAAATTAAATTATCATAATTTAGCTAAGTTAAATTCAGATCCGGACTAAGTCTGATTTAAAATCAGAAAATTGGGAGGAATTTCGGGAGGACCTGGTTTAATAACCTTTTTTTTATTTCACTAAGAAAGGATCTGATTTTGGTTGAGGATCTTTTTTTTGTTTTTTTTTTTTTTAGAAATATCCGGGGTTGAAAAGTAAAATAAAACATATCTAATTATAATTTTGGAGCTCCGTCAAATATTTCGCTTTTCAAAAAGTTCCGTCGCCAAAAAAGTTTGAGAAACACTGTACTAGAGCGGCCGACAACGATACAACCAGGCCCACGACACTCCCTGGGCGGGAAAAAGACGCGCAGCTTTTACTGCGCTGACGTTTTCGGGATATAACCTATCAATTGTCATAAATACGGTTAAAAACTCGCTACCATGCGCAGGCAACCAATATTTCGTACACAAATATAAACTTTTGTTTACATTTTATCGAAGTACTGGGTCTTCAACAATACCGAAAACCCACGTGACCAAATCGTCATGACAGCGATTGGTGAAAATAAAAGTAAAAATCCCTAAATTTGAGCCAGTGCCGTAGATCTTCTTTTTGTATGGTCTGCAACTACGAGAACAAAATTCAGTTAGGTAACTGTTAGAATTACAACACAAAATCATAATATTAATTAGAGGTGCTTTACATTATTGTATTTTAATGTTAGAATTCGATATTTTAATTAGATTTAATCAAATTCAATAATCTAATTTTTAAAATTATGATATAAATAACATAACCTTAAAAACTGAGCTCTAGTTTGTATTTAACGAAAAGAATAATAAACTGAAATATGGTTCGTACTAGTTATTGTCACTACTACAAAAAAAACCTTTACTAGAACAGGGCACAAAAAAGTTATGGATAAAAATGTTATGCATTAAAATATGAATAAAATTAAAAATTATTTACTTTAGATTGACTCTTTAAGGGCCGATTCCACCGAGATTAAAATGACATTTTAAACTTCGTTTAACACAACGGTGGAATCGGTCCTAAGATAATTTAGCTACAGCTGAAACTCTAAATACGATAGGCAGAAGACAATGGCAGTATTTGGCAATTATTGCAGTTTAAGTAAACAAATTTAAAACTTACTGGAATTGAACCTGGACAATGGGAAGTAATAAACACATAATTTAAGTTTGTTCTATTATTTATTTGTTACAGGGTTTAAACCATTTACAAAAAACATTGTTATTTATATGCATACAAAAAAATATTAATATTATTAATGTAACAAGCACATATTTGTTTTACTTTAAAGCTCTTACTTCTCACTTTAAATTATAAAGGCATATCTATAAACAACTATTTTATTTAAAAGGTTATTGAGTAGTAATTGGTGGTGCACAAACGATACTAATTCACAGTACCTATCTGTTCAAAATCTTTACCACCAGCTTTAATGCAAGCATTAAACGTTCTTTTTTAAACACATTATGCAGTTTCTCTTCAGTTACAGTAAATAAATTTGTACTTACCAACAAAAAAGAATTAAGCCACCAATATTCTCTAAAAATAACTAATTGCTTTATTAATATTAAATGAAAAATGGACTAAGGGTGTTTATAAAATGTAAACAAATATAATATAAATATTGTCAGTCCCCAAATGAACGCCAGTGACATTTCTGACAGGATTGACAGTTCAGTTTAGTTCCTTTTACGTCAAATCAGGCCCTTTCGATGGGTTTTTGATGGTTATCAGATCACGTGGGTTTCGGGTGTTGTTGAAGACCTGGTAGTTTTTGTAATACATTCACAGCTTAAAAACGGAAAATTTGTTATTTTGATAGTGGATTTAGATCAAAAATACCCCAAATACACTTCAGTGTGTGTTTTATCCTTATTATTGCTCGTTTTATTTGAGGACATTGGAATAAATAGAGTACTAAAAGTAATCAAGCTAAAAAGGTGTGTTATAAAAAGAAAATACATTGCCTTCGACTGATTTAAGTTTAATATGTTTTAGTGAAGTATTTCCAACATGCTAGTTACTTGAATGGTTGTAAATTGTACGTGTATAAGTGATAAAACATCTAGTGCTTTTTGCTTCCTTTTTTCTGTTGGTGTCCCAGCCCAGCATTTCTAGCCAGCAGTAGTAGCAAAAACATTAACATTGTCTATATTCAACCCATTTACATGTACATGATTTATCAGCTAAAAGCAGAATACAATATTTCTCTGCAAAATGTAAACAACGCTACAAGGAAAATTGCTCATGTATAAATTCAACAATTAAATCAAAATATATTATTTTTAAAGGACTTATATCAACTATTATGTTAATTATAAATATTATAAGTATTTGTAATAAAATAATAGTTGTGTATTAATAAACCTGTTGCTACTCCAAAAAATATATTATTTATTATCAGGTATCAAAAATATGTGTACCTATAGAAATTTGTTGAAATGTTCTATTGCTCATCTTTTTAATGGGTTCTTATTATAGTTGTAAATAAAAATCAACACTTTTTATCCGTCTATTTAACACTTACAAACGTATGCATATTTTAAGTTGTAAGAATCCATAGCCTCTTAATGTTTTACATTAGAAATAAGACCTGTGGTTAAATCGTTAATATGAGGTAAAGGATTTGGGAGTTGTCTTTCAGTCTAATTTGAAGTTCAATAACCATTTTTTACACATAACTAAAAAAGCAATAAAAGCATTAGGTTTTTAAATCTGAAATACAAAAAAATTTAGGATTACCACCAAAATCAGATTATATAATGCCTTAGTAAGACTCCATCTTGAGTATGTTTCACAAATATGGATGCCCTTGGAAGCCACACAAATTGATCATATTGAAAAAGTACAAAAAATATTTTTACGGTACCTTTATGTCATAAAAAATACTTGTACCCTTATACCTAAGATCTCATATAAAACTATGCTCAATAGTTTTAAGATTAAATCTCTTTTACAAAGAAGAAAGCAACAGGCTGTGAAATATTTTGTACTCTATTTTAAGTACAAAGATTGTGAAATGATTGACTATATAAATGTTAATGCGGCAAAGATTAATCTAAGGTTTGTTTTGTTTTTGGTCTTAAATTTCTTGTTACTTACCTCTACATGTAACTACTATTAATTTTTTTATAGTATCCAATACATAAATTATACCTTATGGCTGCTTTCAAACAATTCTGTGTAGTCACTTAGTTTAAAGTCAATTTTAAATTAGTGGTTTTACAAGAATGTCAAATAGTAATATGTATTGTGTCTATGAATTTGCTGTGTGTAGTAAATGGCCAATATACATAATTTTGATATTTTTATCACAAGTGTAAAAACTACGAAAACCATATACATATAGTTCCCATTTTAAAATAAATTCAAATTAATTCATAATAAAAAATAACGATTTTAGTCTGCCATACTTGAACTCATTCACAAAAACAAGTCACTGAGTATATATTTGTAAAAAAACTACACTAAATATGTCTCCGTTACAAATTTTTAAATTTAAAACTACATACTTTCCTATAGATTTTGCAGTACCTAAATAACGTATAGAATAAATTTTTACAATATACTAGAAAAGTTTTAGATTAGAGTAATTCTTAAGAAATAAAGCAATACCTCTATTTTGTTACTCTAACCTTGTGTGTTATATATTTCCCTTGACAAATTAACGTTATATTTTGAACTTAAAGTAATTAAACTTTTCACCAACAAGTAATATTTCACATATATAAAAAAATTTAAAACGGTTCTGTCCTTCTTACATTTGCAAAGACTGCCCTGATATCTAATCTATTTTCTTCTTCAAAGTAATTAAGTTGTTCAACCGTTGTCTATTAAGGTATCTCACATCTCCCTCATACACACGAATTTGAAAAGCAGCAGAACAAAAATTCAACTAACCATGTATACCAAGTCCGTGTAAAGAAAACTTCATATCCCGAAAACGTCAAGTGTCAATTAAAATTTCTACTTTTAAAGATCAAACGTGCCGCCTCAGAGTGCCAATACTGATTGGTATATATACTGGGATACAACAGTCTCTCGCAAAGACTGACTAAATTGCTTAGCATATAAACATAACGAGACGGGTGACGACACATTTGTGTCGTCGGCCTGTTAAACAATAATTTTAGAAAGGTTTTTTGAATAATAAATATGTTAAAATTTCGACTGTATTTATATATTTATTTTTTTTTTTATTTATTGTTTTGACTTTTCCGATATAAAACTGTAATAAAAAAAACTCACCTTTTTCCGTTCTAGATAGGTTTAAAATTACGTCCCAGGCAAGCTGTATTGTTTTGACACATTTTTGTTGTCCATTTTTTATAAAAACTTGCGTCACTATTTTATAGTAATCTTCGCAAGAAGTGGATCCGGGTAAGTAGAACATTGGCGCAGATGAAGTAATAGCTCCATTAATTAAATCCGGATAAATCATTCTCAACAAAGCTGACAACATTCCAGCATAATATCCTCCAAAAGCAATGAAAGGTTCAGTCGAGTCAGATGTATTAGAAAAGTTCTTCTTTAAATCAACAATAACAAACGCAAAATCTGCTAACGCCTGGGTTGAGGATAAATATCTTAAATTATTCGTAGAAGAAAATGAAGCATTTCCTATAAACAAAAATTACTATTTTATTGAGACAACCGATTTTATAAGTTTTGGAAATTTGTCGGTTAATGATAAGAAAAAATAGGATTACAATATCCTTGGAAATCCCCAAACAAATCCCAAAATTACCCCTACGAAATAATAATTATTATTATTAGTTTTAAACTCCCAAGGTGAAAACAAATTTATTGAAAAATTAAAAATTTTTGTCCACGGGAGGATTCGAACCTACCTATCCATGTTCAACGCACACCGCTCTGTAACGATGTTCCCCAGTAACACCGTTTTAGATACGCCTATGGTTCAGCATGTAACCGTTTTTGCCAAGCAGAGACAAGTATATAAAGAGCTCCAAATTTTATTCTCGTCAGTCGAACTAAGGTATTGACTTAGCAAGACTCTCCTCTCCTGCTCTTGCAAAGGTATTGACTCTGTGGGCTTCCCGACGTCCCGACCCCTGCCTGCAAAGGTATTGACTTTGTAGGTTTTCCTTTCCCGTGGATCTCTCCCACGAAGGTATTGACTTCGAGGGACTTCCATTACCGTAAACGTAACCTAAGCTCTTGTCACGTTTTCGCCACGCCATCCTGGACCACCGAGCCACGCCAAACCGACGCACAAAATATATTTTGGGGAAACAATATTCGAAGACACGACGATTCGAAATTTAGTTAGGACCTTTTCATTGTACATATTGTAAATTGTTAGAATAAAGTTTTATTTCCAAAGAACTCTGTCTCCGACTGTTTAAAATCTACCTGCTACCCGAACAACCCCCAGGAGGGGTTACAGCTCTTAGCAACTGAGCTATCAAGAACATAATAATTTTCTGTAATCTAGGTTGGATTCGAAATCTTACATTCATCTTTACAATTGGGAAGTCAGTGACTATGTCCATGAGAGATTAGTGTTAAATATTATCAAAATAATATGTAACAGTTACCGTTACTCTGTATTGTCCACCTCTAATTATAAACTGTCAATTACCAAAGAACAATAAAGTTTAGTTCATGCAGAATATTCAAACTGGAAGCATGTTGTTTTTTACCTCCATCTGATTTATCAATTAGTTGGTAAGAGCGGTGTCCACAGAACACAGATATGTAATAATAATAATAATAATAATAAAAAATGCTTTTATTGACATTATGCATACATATATGACTTATGTCAATTGGCAGGGTTCAGTGTTCCTTAAAGGTAGATGAACTGCCTTTAAGTAACTCTGCTCTTCCACCCAACCATGTACATTTAATTTTTGTACAAGAATTATCTATTTAAGTAACAAAAAAAAACTAACTAAACTTCTAAAAATAAAAATAAAAATAAGAGACATACTAAAAAAATCAGAGAACAACAAAATATATAATATTATATTAAAAATCTGGTGGTGTCATAACACTATTTAGTAAATCATTCTTCAACTGTTTCTTAAAATTTAATTTATTACTGCAATTACCATGTTTGTCATGAAACCAATTAAAAAGATGAGCGATTTGATATGAAAACGAACCTCTGTAAGCACGTGTTCGGTGTAATGGTATGGTTAATCTATTCTTCCAACGAATATTGACGTTATGTACGTCTGTCCTAAATCTTATTTTGTTGTAAAGATACGGAGGTGTTTTCTTAGAAATAATTGAATTAAACTGACAGCAAGCGTTCAATACTCGTTGTTGAATTGTGGTTAACCAACCAATTCTTTTAATATGGTGCGAAATATGTTCCCTTCTCCTAATGCCACAAATTAATCTTACACATGAATTTTGTAACTTCTGTAATCGATTGGAATCAAATTTGCGGATGTTTGGACCATAAACCACATCACCGTAATTTAAGTGCGATATAACTAAACTATTACATAATATAAAACCATTTTAGAGTTAAAAGTCAGTAATTTTCTGTTAGAATATATTAATTTTAAATTACTAAACCCTCTTTTAATAATCATAGATATATGTGACGAGAAATTTAAATCAGAATCTATAATGATACCTAAGTTTTTACACTTGTCCTTAATGGACAGTGGCTCATCGTTTACCCTAATTCGTACTTTGTCAAGACATCTATTCCGCTTCACTCGTCTGCCGAAAAACATTAGATTCGACTTTTTAGCATTTATAGAGAGTCCTATTTTAATAGAGTATGAAACCAGTGAATCCTTGATTATATTAATAGAACTGTCTATGTTTTTTTCATCAGAAACATAATATATCTGACTATCATCAGCATAAAAGTGGCTTGAGCAGTTTTTTAAGGATTTGTATAATTCTGAGGTATATATTATAAACAGTAATGGACCGAGAATCGATCCTTGGGGCACCCCATTTATAACACTGTTCCAATTGGATACTTTTTGAGATAACTTAACTCTTTGAAAACGATTTGCTAAATACTGTCTAATTAAAGACGTTGCTTTTTCTGAAAATCCAAAGAAACTTAACAGAGATAATAATAAATTATAATTAATTTTATCAAATGCCTTTGAGTAGTCAATCAAAACAAGAACACATAATTTATTTTCATCAACTGCAGTTAATATATCATCAGTTACTTTAAGAATTGCAGTTGTACAACTGTGCATTGGCCGAAAGCCAGATTGACATTGAGGAAAAATATTTTGGTTTTCTGCATACTTACGTATTCGCTTATCAATCACTTTTTCAAAAATTTTAGATGAAGTTGATAATAAACTAACAGGACGAAGATCTTTAAACTCTTGTGGTACGGTACATTTTGGTATTGGCATGACTTCTGCCAGCTTCCATTCCGACGGATAAGTGGAGTGTTTTATGCAATAGTTAAATATATGTTTAAGAAATTGTAAGATGTAGGGGCAACTGTTCAAAATCATTGTAATACTGATTTGATCACATCCCATTGCCTTAGACTTTATAGACAATATATAGCGATAAATTTCATTTTCATCTGTTAAGTCGAAACAGAAATCGTTATCATATAATTTTTGTGTTTGATAGTATTGCAAAAGTTCAATATCAATTGTAGAATTTTCACTAGAGCTACTAATAAAATAATTGTTAATGTGGTCAACGTTAGACAGTGAGTAAGGGACCTCATTAGAACAGTCTTTTTTGTTATAAATGTCTAAATCTCTAAGTACTTTCCAAAAGGAATTTCCTGCGTTGCGAATGTTGCTTCGAATCCCCCGCGGACAGATTTCTTTCAATTTTTCGTTAAATATATTTTCTCCATGAGGGTTAAAAAATAATTGATATTATTTCCTATGGATAATTTTGGGATTTATTTGGGTATTTCCAAAGATATCGGATAGAATAGATACGCCTTGTATACATTGGATTTGTCCGCAACATCTTTCTGACAGTACGCTCTTTCTATGTTGTCAGGGTATCTATTCTTGAATCTCAGGGAGTAGAAATTTTGAGGGAAGAATGAGATAAAAATACAAATTTTGCGCGTTGCAGATAAAGAGGCAAAACCGGTTTTCTATTCCCTAGAATTCAAGAATAGCTACCCTGATATCTTCCAACAAATATCCTGCATTAAATTTTCATTAAAAAATTTAGGGTCTATTTATATTCCCTTATTAATTAGTATTTGCATTAGTATCATGATTAAGAATTAGATTGAACCTTCACAATGTAATGGAGACATTTATACTCGATTTATGATTAGTATTAGCATTAATATTTGTGCTTAATAATTGACAGGTTCAACTTTTAAGCCAAATATTAACTTCTTCTTTTCTATCAAATTAATCAATGACGTATTTGACCTTTGTTTTTAATAGACAACGGAAAATGATAATTGACAATACACATATGATTATGTTGTTTATAAGTTTGTTCCAACAAGCTGGAAAACGATAATATTTCGGAACAAATCTTAGACCTAGTTTAAGGTACAAATCATGCGCTATATACAATTTTTGTGTATTAGCAGTGTTTACCGAATATAAAGTTGACAAATGACATGTCACCACGAGAAAGCAAAGGCCTCTTTTCTGTCTGATTTGTATCAAATTTCTGCTTCTTTTTATCTGTTATAAATTTGAAACCTAAATCCGTTAAAATATCCTTAATTAAACCTATTTTTGAATAATAATATTTTTAAAGAAAATTAACTAGTAAAAATATTAATAAAAACACGTTTATAACTCAAATATCTTAAAAAATATTTTAAGAACACAACTGGCCTCTTACACATTTCTTCAGTAACCAACATTTTGTTCACTGCAAAATTATCCCTTATTAGGAAAAAGATTATTAAAAAGAAGCACTAATGTTAATTATAAAACGAGTATAAATACTTTTTTTGAATATTTAGTTCAGTCTAATGCTTAATTATAATACTAATACAAATACTAATAATAAGGAAGTATAAATAGACCCTTAGTATTCCCTTTAATATAATCTATTAAAAAATATATAAAAAGTTGATTGCATCAGTATAAGTTTTTTTTTAATGGCTATTGAATATTCTGGTTGATAACCTTTAAGTTTGGCAACCTAAGACATTTTGTTGACAGTATCAAGTGACAGCTTAATTTTTATTGTCTTTTTTACTTTCTTATCTGTACGAGGCTGGGCCACACACCTAGATGACTATACAGCGCAAGAGAGACATCCGACACGGCAACAATTGAAAAGTCTAATAAGCCGCCATTTTGCCAGAAATCTGTCAAAACATATATGCAACCAACAATGCATGGTAATGTGAAAGCCAGACAGTATGCAACCAACATTATGCGTTTTTGTTAAACAAATTGAATGCATTAATCTCCTTTGTTACTATACTCTGTTTTTAAACTAGGAGGAGCGAATTGAAAAGACTCATTTACACAGGGAAAAGTAACTAGATTTGTTACTAAGAGCGAGTTTCGAAATATAGTCGTGTTCAAAATTTATGAAATAATTATCTTTATCGGCCTTAGTCGGTGAACGGCCAATGAGCGGTTAAGAAACGAATAAATGTCATAGAAGTAATTTTTTAATTGGTCCCAGACAACGGTCGCAAATTTCACATTATTGTGATCTGAAATGTGTGTCTAAAACGAAATGTCACTGTCAAATTAAAGTCAATATGGTTGTTGATTGATGTCAGAAATACTTTTTTCTTGCTTTTGAAATCGACTTTTTGAGAATAACTATGATCTTTTTAAAATGGATATTAAATATTTAAGAAAATTGTTAATGGAATATCCAGATGTAGCCAGGTTAGTATAAAATATGAAGATCTGTTTACATTTTTAAGGATATATTTGTTATAGGTATAAAAAGTAAAAGTTAATCAGTGAATGACAAGTGGATCACACAGTAACTGGTATCTCTTCTATGAGTAATGTGGATATTATGGCTTATTTAGTGTTAACCCATGGTTAATGCGCTAGAGGGCAAATAAAGGCATTCAAAAGTTTACAGGCCTATGAGTCAGAATTTGTTTTGAAAACTGGAACCAACATTTTCATAACACTACATGTCAACATATATTTTTTAAAGTGAACTATTCATACATACCTAAGTATTAATTTTAAGTATTTTTAAAATATTTTTTGTGAAAGTAATGTTAACTCATTGTGCCAAATTAAGATTGTCCCTAAAGTAGTAGATGGTTTTCTAATGTTATAACAATTTTGTAAATAGTTTTATTCTATTCTAATAAATAAAATTTGCTTGAATATTTAGTTACATTTTAATCATTTTGGTTAGAAATTCATCAACTTTTAGTTTTATAAAATCAGTAATAAAATTATTTTTTTCTAAAATACTTCGGAATTCATCTCTTCATGGTAATCTCCCATCTTTTTACCTTCAAAAACCAATAATGCATTTTCTACAAAACCTTCAGAATCAGCATGTAAAATAAGGTGTCTTTCCTTTCTTGTAAGGCTTTTCAGGAATTGCTACCTTTAATAGTACTCAGTGTAGAAGAATCCATAATTGTATATTTTCAATACAATTGCTTACTGAAGAACTATTATTTACGAAATAAATTAAAAAACTAAGTAATGGATGAGATATCAAATTATAAAATGTCAGAACTGTCAACAATATCAATTATTAGCTTAGTTCATGCTAAAAAGTAATGTGTGAAACTGACTGTAATCTGACCAATCAGAAGGCTACAGAATTGCCAACTTAAATTCAAATCGCTCCTCTTAGTTTAAAAACAGAGTATAGGCATTTTATAATTATTAAAAAAAATTGTTTATGCATCAACTATTAACAATATTTTGTGAAATTGCATTATTACATATTCCTAATATAATTCACGAACATAAACGAAAACAATGCAAAATACTAAAATAGCATCGGCATTATCGACATCGAAAGTTGACACTTAAATCCACATACTTTGATTTTCTTTTACTATACGGAGAATGGTCGCACTGCGCAGCTTTCTGAGTGCCTTTTAAAAGGAAATAGAAAACTCCGCCATTTTGATCCCTTATTACGTGTTGCCTACGTCTTGGCGCAATATTTTTAATAGGTGCGTTTTAATCATCCGCTTCTGCTTCGGAATTGTCGGTTTTCTTGTTTTAATCTGACAGGTTAAAACGACTAAACCGACAATTCCGGAAGCAGAAGCGGATGTTAAAACGCATCTGATATTTTGCTTGCTGCTGTCAGTGTCAGTGAATATTATTTTTGGAGTCACAGTTTATTGCTAAAGAATCAGTTAGCTCACTCGGACCAGTTGAAAGTTCCAAAATAACATCCAGTCCAGGGATACAAATTCAGCATACGCAGAAGACTGCTGTTTTATTATAGGCGGTTGTCATATATTGTATTATCCGAGTTGCGCAGTGTATAAACTGGAACATTGAGATCAAAAGTGCCGACGCAGAGTGAGCGATCTGATTCATTAGCTATAAACTGTAGCATAGGAATCAAAATGGGCGCGCCCTATGTTGGACGTGTCGGGCCTCTCTCGTGCACCGTATAGTAATCAAAGTATGTGCTTAAATCTGACAATTAGCTGGCAAAATGGCGGAATATTCTATCCCGTTTCAGTAGACACTCAGATCAGATGCGCAGTCGTTCTTCAGCCGTATATTTCTCTAGGTATGTGGGCTGGGCTGAGAAATAATCGGCCTCGGCAAGAGTTGGCGGCGCTAGGAACAAATGCAATTGTTTTTCGTAAAAACTGTCTTTCAAGTGACTTCTGTCAAATTTTGAGCGAGCTGCGTCACTTAGTTTGTACTTGACAGTGATTGAAGGCAAACAGATTTTGCATTTTTACAAAAATGAATAAAATCGAATATCGCGCAGTGATTAGATTCTTGTTTTTAAAAAAGAAAACGAACGATAAGATCAAAATCGAACTGGATGATATGTATGGGGAATCTGCACCTTCGTTATCAACAATAAAATATTGGACTGCCGAATTTAAACGCGGTCGTACGATATTTTTTGATGATGAGCATCCAGGCCGTCCAGGAGAGGTCACCACACCAGAAGTGGTCGATAAAATCCATGGTATGGTAATTGACGATCGACGGGTAAGAGTTTGTGAGATTGCTGAGGCTGTGGGCATCTCACGTGAACGAGTGGAGAATATATTGCACGAATATTTGGGAATGACGAAGCTCGCTGCCAGATGGGTGCCGCGTTTGCTTAATGCCGACAACAAGCGAAACCGTATGACAACTTCAAAGAAGGACTTTTTGCGCTGTTTTGTAACCGTGGATGAAACATGGATTCATCACAATACGCCAGAGACGAAGGAACGGTCAAACCAGTGGGTTTCTCAGAGCGATTCAAAGCCAAAGAAAGCCAAGGTGAGTCTGTCTACCAACAAGGTCATGGCCACAGTTTTTTGGGATGCGCACGGTATTATTCACATCGATTATCTTGAAAAGGGCAAAACCATCACTGGCGATTATTACTCAAAGCTGTTGGACTAATTCGACGACGATTTGAAGCAAAAACGACCTTATTTAGCGAAGAATAAAGTGCTCTTCCACCAGGACAACGCATCGGCGCACAAATGTGCAGTCGCAATGGCAAAACTGTATGAATTGCGTTACGAATTGGTTCCTCATTCGCCATACTCCCCAGATCTGTTTCCAGACTTGAAAAAATGGCTCGGTGGTAAGAGATTTGAGTCGACTGGGGAGGTCATCGCTGCGACAGAAGCCAATTTTATTATTCCAAAGGCATCGAAAAATTGGAGAATCGTTGGACAAAGTGTATAGAGCTTAAAGGAGATTATGTTGAGAAATAAATTGAGTTTTGTCAAAAAAGTTGTGTTTTCTTGCCTAGGCCGATTATTTTTCAGCTCAGCCTCGTATACCTTAAATTAGGTAATAAAGAGAGGGCGCGTAATAAGTATATCGAGCACACGTAGTATTATGTGCCGATTATCTATTGGCCGCCATTATTTTGGTACTAATCATTTCGGTGACACCAAAGTTTTTGTTCGTGTTTATTTCTGATTTTTGAATTAAACTACATTTAATAATTGGTTTATTACAATGATTTATTGTGTGGCATATCAGTGTTAAAGTTATAGCGGCAAGAAATAAGCAGATATTACGTTTTACAGGTAAATGATAAACATCAATCCTTTTCACTTTATATATTTTCTTATATTTTTCATTTTATTTGGTGTTATATATACAACTTGGTATTTACATATTGTACGCGTCTCACTCCAGAGTAATAAATTTTACCCACCAAGTTTGTTTATTTTATGCTTTTCATTGATATTTAAGAAATTAATGATAGTAAAATGGCCAAACATGTAACTTTTTCCAGTGGCGTGTCGTACAATTCTAAATATTAACTTTTATTAAATCCTAATTTACTTTTGCTTCTTATTTAATTGCAGCAATGTTTATTTGTTGTTTTATTTTAGATTTCCTGTGGATCCAGCAAAAAAATCTTTGGATTCACGCAACGAAAATTTCAAATTGGATGCCTAAGCCAAATGATAGTGTTCAAAACATTTTGAAAGACTTTTTTTGTGGGACGGACTGTAAAAGACGTTTACTAAATGGAGCAGTTCCCACTATATTTCCTGAATTCTCTAAATACATGCAACCGAAAAAGGTGCGTATACTAATAAACATAATTGAACATATATTTTTATTAATTACTTTTCATTAATATGTTATAAACTTTTAAGAATTTAGCAACCCTTTTGTGTATAATTCAAAACATTACTGTAATAATTGATTGTTTGTATAACTTAAAAAGAAGAGCCCTGCCTTTGGAAGCTGAGCCAGGCCCTTAAGTTGAAAGATATAAGTTGGGAATATTTAGAAATGGAGTTTTCGAGGAGACGTTTTCCCTCTTTTAATAATTTGTTTATTCTTTTACCATAAATTTAAATAATCTTAAATAGCATCCTGTCCTTGTCTGAGCGGGCTCGTGATGACGATCAGTTCATTCTTGGATTAGGTGCTATCCGCGTAATTTTTTTTTTTTTTTGTTAACTTGCAAACGGCAAATTTAAATAGTATGCTGTCCCTGTCTAAGCGGACTCGTGATGACGATCAGCTCATTCGTGGATTAGGTACTATCCGCGTTAGTAGTTTTCTTCCCTTTGATAATAGTTTTGTAACCAGCGCCATTCGTAAGGAATCGTTTTCTCTGTGGCGATAAAACCCCTTACAGTATAAAGGCGAAAAGCACCAAACATTTTTTGTAAACAAAAACGGTTGTTTAAAAGAAGTAAACACATTTGGTATTATGTCAAGTTTAAAATAATCTAAAAGATATCGTCACAGATGATAATATCATTGTTTTCTCTAATTCTTCATTTAATAATACTGATGACAACTAACAATTGTTATAAAAGTTACCAAAAAGGGCAATTTTAATTCAATTTCTTGTTTTACCAAAAAGTTAAATATATTCTACTTACCAAATGGTAATGATCTCCCATAATAACGGTGTTCAATAAAAACAATCATAGCATTAAAAGTAGGCGCAATTTCGAACAAGAATCCCGTATTACGAGCAGCGATTGTAATATCTCTTTCACCTCCGGTATAAACGAACACAGGGCCGCCCTTGACATGGTACTTTTTGTCAACGAGATATCTCAAATTAAAAGTTTTAGGTGGCTCAAATGGAGAATAGTGATCTACTGGTACTTCGATAAATTTAGTTTCCAAAGAAGGTATATGAACATTCTCAATTTCTTTTAGAAAAATCACTATACCAATTACAACCGGCAATAATTTTAAAAATATATTATTTTTAATTTTCACTGACATTGTAACACTTTGCAGACTAGTTTTGCTGTGATGAATTTTGAATCAAAAGAGACAAGATCAGTGCGAAAAGAATGCCTACGAATTAAGATATTTAAATTTTTGATAATTATATTTTTCAACTGCTTTATCTTTTGCATACTCTGTGTGTCAGCGTTATAAAAATAATAAAGATTAAAAGTATGTAGGTACAGTCATGTCCCTACTTATTTATTTCTCTGAAAATATATTAGTAATAATAATACAAAATAGTTTTGATTTGAGCTAAAAATTAATAAATTAAAAGTGTGACAAATTGTTTACGTAAGTTGGCAGAATACGAAAAACTATTTTATTATTAACATTAGAAAAAACATCGTCAAAATCTATTTTTAATTTCAATATCAATCTCTTGCAAAGGCAGCATCATAAAACAATATTATTTTTCACGAAGCATGTTGCCTTTTAGTCCCAACCATTTGACGTACATTTCATTACCTTTACGACGAAGTATCTTTTCAACCAAGTAGATATTACGATTTGCAGTTTTCTGTAATTCTTCTTCGTAGAATGCACTTTTGATTGGTGTACCCTCCATGTCCTCGAGAAGATACGTAACATGATTGGTTATCTTAACTTTTGCAACTTTAAATAATTCCGTTGTCCAATTGGGTGTATAACCTTTCTCAAAAACGTGTTTAGCTTTACTAATGCGTACAATGTTGCCAACTTTAAGTTTTCTAGGCCCTGCAATTTTCAAGTGAGGATATTTTTGTTTCAGAATATCTTTTTCATTCGTTTTGTTGCGTAGGCTTACATCCAATCGTTTTATGTTTTGTTTCATTATATTCTTTTGTTAGGTTAGGTAAGGCGTCAAGCCACTTGTATGTTCCAACTAAACTAAAGTATTTATATAATTTCGATTTTAAAGTTCTTATTGCTCTTTCGGCAATTGAAGCTTTGACAACACTGTATGAATTATAATGATTAAAGCGATATTTTTTCATTAAGTTTTGGAAATTTGTATTGAAAAATTCGGTACCTTGGTCTGTTTGCAAATTTTTTGGGACTCTTTTGGTGTGAGCGAGAACATCGGTAAACGCCCAATCCTGCTACGTATATCTTCTCGAGGACATGGAGAGTACACCAATCAAAGGTGCATTCTACGAAGAATAATTACAGAAAACTGCAAATCCTAATATTTACTTGGTTGAAAAGATACTTCGTCGTAAAGGTAATAAAATGTATGTCAAATGGTTGGGACTACAAGGCAACAATTGGATCAAAAACAACGATTTTGTATAGGGTCACGAACAAATTTCTGATAAATAGAGACCTTTTTGTGTAATCAGTCGAAACCGGATGTTGTGTAGTGGGGGCTATAAATAGGAGCAGCATTGTCAGTTTGTACTTTAGTAATCATGTGTAGCCAAGACAGCGGTATCGAAGTATTAGTCGAGAGTGAAATGTCCGATAGTGATATGGATGATATTGATGCAGAACTCGATCAATTTTTCGAAAAGTTAAGGCGACAACCTTCTGAAGAACTTGACAAAATTGTACAATCCTATGAAGATGCTGCAAAACGTGAGATGAATTACCTACTTTCAAACCTCATATATGTTATCAGGATACGAAATTCGATGCGGTATAAATCCAGCGAGATCGTTTACTCCAGCAATCATTTTGACCCAACACTTCAGGCCTACTAAAATATCTTTTTGAACTTTCGAATGGGGTACTTTTGTTGATATTCTCAGACAAAAGATGGATGATTTTTTCCATGAGGACTTGTCTACGTATCCAGACGAGTATGATCCCATTTCATGTGCATGTGGTGATTATTGCATCATTACGCAACTGGTTTATGACGATATTAAATTCTTGGTTGTAAAGAAACATGGTGTCGAATACTATTTGTGTGAAGAGGAAGTGCAGGATATTCTTGTAACAAACAAAGAATTGGTGTCCAATAGAGTGGCTGCATTAGAAGAACTTAATTTCTGCTTATATTACAATAATATTATCGATTTTTGTAAAACACGTGATTACCCGTTGCAAATGTTATGCTCAATGTGCGATATACTTCCAAATGATTTGTTAAACCATGCTTTAAGTGAGTACATTTATTTTTATAAAATTTCTGTAATTAATGATTTAAATAAATGATTATTATAAAAATTATTTTGTTTTATTTTAAAGAAAAAAGTAAAGATAGTCGAACGGTATAATAGCGGTTTTGATTTTATTTTAAATCTTATAGTTATTTACTACAATTGTCAGAAACAGAAAAATAATTTATAAAAAATCAATAAATTAAACATACGATTTACTTAAAAAAAAAAACTAAAAGCAAAATAATTAACTAGAGAAAAATGCGTGAAAACTTTTTTTAAAATCTACTTACTTTTAAAATGATAATGTTTGGATCTGTAGTTTCTGTAGATTGGCAGCTGATCTGCAGTTGCTGTAAATTGATAGTGGATCTGTAGTTGCTGTAGATTGACGGCTAACTGTTCTGTTTCTTCTTATTATCTAAATAAAGAACAATCTTTTAGTTTACTAAAAATTATCAATTTTTAAAATTTAAAAAATCTATTTCACAAAGTTATCAAAACTAAAATAATTGTAAAATGTATTTTTATAAAAATCAATATTTAAAAAAGAAATTGACAATGTAGCAAAAATCGTTTTCTCAAAAATAAAAATCTAATATCTTACTGCTTGTAAGTAAAAGTACAAAAACAGAAATAGTCTCTTACAATTTTTAAAAAAGAAATTATAATTAAAAAACGCAGAGTAAAAATGTAATATTTAGAAAAAAGAAATTCAGTAAAATCGTTTTTCCAATTTAAGCTGTATTAAATTAAAGATAAAGAGAGTGGAAAATCAATATATATTTCCTACCTTAACTCCTTTGTAAAAACAAAACTACTATTATGATTATCTAGTAACAAGTAACAGTGAACAGACGTGTTTTTGAGCTCCGTATTATTGTTTATCTAAAAAGACCTACACAATATTACCAAAAACAAATATAAGTCAAACTGAAACACTAATTCAACAATGTATAAGTGATAATATTAATTATTGTAGTCATCTATTTCACGTCAAATGTGCAATTAAAGAGGTATTTATTTATGAAAATTTCTAGAAATCGGTAAAAACCAGTTTATTCCAATAATCCCGACTGAAGTTTTTACACTTGATGAACATATGGCAGTGGCTATTTTACCATACAAACGTATCAAATTAAATTTCATTTAATTTTTAAATAAAATGAAAGTGATATGGAGTGTTTTACTTGTAAACAATCACTAGAACCCGAGAAAAAGATTATAAACAATAAATGTGATCTTTGCTCCCAGGTTTATTGCAGCGAGTGTTCACCAATAACTGTAACAGAGGACAGATGTATGAAATTAGCTGAGAGGATTCTAAAATTCTTTTGCACTGATTGCGACAATAAAAAACTATGGCTTAACTCCCAACAAATAAGTAATGATAACAAAATTTTACATGAGAAAAACATAGAATTACAAAGAGAAATAAGAAAAACTACAAGATGAAAATAATGCTCTACATTTAGATAAAAAAAGTATTGATAAAACCACTAGTACAACAGAAAATACAAAGGCACTAGATGATAATATAGAGAAGCATTTGTTGTCCAAATTAACTGAAACAGTAAACAGTAAAATATCCTATGAAATAAATAAAATGAGGACTGATCTAAATAATGTGACTGAATCTAACGTAGAACTGTTGAAGCTGCTTCAAAGTGGACCTAATCAATCACCTAATCACCTAATCATACACACCAACACATGACTTATGAAATCAGTTAACCAAAATCTCATGAGTCAACAAATATCTGAAAATATAAATCGAAAGAACCCGAAAGCCACATGTCAACCAAATACCTATTCCACACAAGCACCAGGCCCTCAAATCAGGCAAGAATCAATTATCAGGAATTCAAATTCTCATCAACATGGTAAACATTCCACAAGTTAAGTTAAATATAATGAAGATGTTCAGCAACAAAAAAAAAGAAGCACACCTAACTCTAACAATTTAGTAATACAAGAAAGAAATATTTCTACACAAGATGTATCAACTCTATGTTTAATCCCAATGCGTTTCTCTATGATAACGAAAATGCGGAAGGGAGTAACAAACAAACAAGAATGGCATGAAGTTTCGCATCGTAAAAGGAAAATACAAGTTGGAGTATCAACAGAACTTGATAGTGGCGAAAATGCTTTTCTTGGTACTACCAAAAATAATAAAAATGTGAAGAAAATTTGGCTATTTATCTCTAGAGTTAAAGATGCTGTTACTGATCAGACAATAAGGAAATATATAGATACAAAATCAAATCAAACTGAAGCTAATGTTTCTGTAAAAAAAGCTGGATACCTACCACAACAATCAAGATAATAATTCTTGGTGTAGATCCAGCAATAAAAGAAGTAGTGTACATGAATTCATTTTGGCCAAAAAATGTATGCTTCTCAAGATTTGACTTTAAGAAGGGTCAACATTTCCTCGACAATCCCGATGGTTACAAAAAAACGGAATCTGGGTAGTTTTTAATAGCAGACACGAAATATGAACTGAAGACTATGTGCCTTCTAAAGTTCTCAATACTACTGAGTCATTCAGGGGTTCAGCGGGGGCTATGTCCATCTTTCATTGGAATGTTCAATGTATACGAAACAAACTCTTAGAAATCGAAAGGTTTAGTATAAAAAACACATCTAATAAGATAATCTGCACCACTGAGCACTGGTTAAACAATCATGAAAAAGATTGTTATAATTTATTTATTTTATTTTATTTATTTATTTACGGGCAATGCCCAATTCAGTTTATATACAATAAAATACAATATAAAATAAAAAATACAATAAAATAGAATAGTGATATCATAAAAATTAAGTAAATGAATTATAGAATGGCTAGCAGTTTTTGTCGAAGCATGTATAAAAATGGAGGTTCATGTATATATGTGCATAAAT